AATGATCATTATATACAGAAAAAAACTCTTTATTAATGCTAATGACTAAATAATCTACATCAGGTTTTATATAAACGTAAGTTAATTGATTATTTAATTTTATAGGTGCCGGTAAAAGTTTATACCAAGTTAAATCTTTGTCTTTTACAATAGGTATTTTCAAAACATATATAATAGAGTCATCCCTAAAATAAATAGTCATATCCGACATTTTTATAATTTCTACAGCCTCCCTAGAAGAAATACTTGTTGTAAAGTAGTACCTTTGGTAAAAGTTATTTTAATTTCCCTTAAATTCTTTTCCAACTCTTGTGGTATTAGTACATATATAAAGAAAATATAATTGATTTATAATTATAATATTAGGTTTTTTTTTTTTCATTTTTTTTTCATTCGTGGAATATTTTTACGTTATTTATGTGGATTTTCTTCTTTTGGTCAGTTAAAATATTCGTTTGCCCATTGTATATATTTAATTTAATATTAATTTGTTTATTAATTTGTTTAAAAATGAAATTAATCATTATATTAACGTCTGATAATATTTTATTTACGTATTCTAAATCTAGGTCAAGTGCGTCGACCTTTGTTTGTAAACAATGATTGATAATGTTTTTAAATGCATTAAATATTTGTTCTTGCATTTCCACCTGATTATTTTCATCTATATTATTATAAAAAATGCACTTGTTATTATGTGATTGGATTAATGTTGCTATATGATGTTTACTTTCATTTATAAGCGCCCAATCATTATTTTTATCGATTATTATTTTATTATTTATTATTATTATTTTATTTATTGAATTCCTATACGTTCTGTATGTATAAAATATTATTATGTTTTGCGAATTATCTGTAATGTTTTTATTATAATATTTAATTTTAATATTAAATTATCTTTTTGATTAACATAATCGTTATACGTTATTTCATTTACAGTGAAAATGTTGGTTATTACCGACTCATTATAATTAATCTGAATTCTTGATAACGCATCGGCGTTGTTGATAGAACCTGGCCCATAAACTACTTCATAGTCAAATTCTGACAACATTAACCTCCACCGCATTTATCGAGAACTCGGATCATTAATTCCAAATAGCCATGTTAACGGTCTGTTGATTTGGGTAAAAGTTACACCGGTTATACAATTTTATATTAATGGACTGTATGATGTATAATAAATAACTGATTTTGTTGCGTTATGAAATAATATATTTAATTTGAAGTTTATTAAAAAACCTTTTTATTTCATGAGCGGAGTCGGCACCTTTACAATTTTAAATACTTTACCCAACTGAATATAATAAAATCAAAAGCCCATCGGTACACTAGACCGGTTAGGTCGGTAACGATACTGACACGGACACAATCGATATAATATAATACACATATAATATAATTTGACAATACTGAACATTGATATCTATAGGTAACACAGTCGATGGTCAGTAACTACTGTAAATTTTTGTTTGTAAAGATAAGGTCTGACATTTTTTTATACTCCATATTATAGCAAATAATTCATTTTTTATAGTCGAGTAATTTATTTCCGCTTTCCAAATTGTTCTAGATGCATAAGGAATGGATAATTTTTTTTCCAAAATACCCTGTGATAACACGGACCCTATTGCAAATTGAGAAGCATCTGTTGCCAAAATAAACGATTTCTCAAAATTTGGATATTGTTTGTTGTAATATAGGTTCTTCTAACAATTTCCCTTTTAATGTATTGAATGCCAACTCACATTGGTCATTCCAAACAAATTTATTTTCCTTTTTTAATAACAATAACATTAGTTTCACGATTTGTGCAAATTTCGGAATAAATCGCCTATAGTAATTAGCTAAGCCAATGAAACTTTTTACTCTAGTAACATTATGTGGTCTGGGGAAGTTTTTTACGCAATTAGTTTTCTCAGGATCGGATTTTATTCCGTCCTCTGTGATCACATGACCTAAATAAATAACTTCCTTCCTCAAAAATTGATATTTATGAGGTTGTAGTTCTAGGTTGTATTCCCTAAGCCTTTCAAAAATTTCCCTTAACTTTTTTTCATGTTCTAGTAAATTAGATGCGTAAACTATGATGTCATCCAGATTAGCAAAACAACGCGTGCCTTCTAATCCAATTAGTACCTTTTGCATCATCCGACTAAAAGTAGCCGGTGCAGAGGTTAGATCAAAGCCTAATCTCAGAAACTCAAAGTGCCCTTCAGGTGTAGAAAACGCGATTTTATGCATATCTGCTGGATTTATTTTTATCTGATAATAACCGTCAGCAAATCAAGTGTTGAAAAATACTTAGATTTGCCTAATTGGTCTGAAATCGAATTTATGTTCAGTAATGGATATGCATCACCTATTGTAACTTCATGAAGTTTTCTGTAATTGATGCATATTCTATATTTAGGTTTACCCGTTTTATCTGCGCGTTTCGGCACGATTATTATTGGAAAATTCCAAGGTGATTTACTTGGTTTTATTATTTCTTTATTTAACATCTCTTTTATTTGCTTATTAATTTCCTCTTTATGAACTACGGGTAAGCGATAAGGTCTTATATTTATCGGGTGTATATTTTCTTTAGTAATTAGTTGGTGAGTTTCGATTTCGGTATAAGTTAATTTATCGGTCGGGAAGTAAAATAAATCGAAAAAATCATGACATGAGCAGTTGCTCCAGTTGGCAAAATATTGAAAGGCAACAAAAAAAATAAATAATACCTATTGTTTTAATTATAATAAAATAATAATAAGTTAAATAAATATTTTTTAGTTATTACACTACCTAGTCAGAAACTCATAATATCAGAATTATATAAATACATACCTACCCATCATTGGAATTTTTATTAAAAATTAATTTGGTGTAAGAAAAATACTAACCGTAAAAAATTAAACTAACCGGTTGCCAATCTACATATTTCATACAATAATATTACTGAAAAAGGGGAAATAAATTGATGTTTACTTCCATACTATACATTGTCCCTAAATATGGATTATACTGCCTAGTGTCTACAGACCATTTATATTATTCAAGTACAAAGAAACACCATTGTTCAAATAGTGAAATATGTTTGGCTTTTAAAATTTTGATTAAAATATGAATAGTACTGAATAACATTTATATTTTAAAATTCTTGAATTTTGTTTTAATAATTTAGAATGTATAGGTATATTATAATAATAGTATGTAGGTACAGAGAAATACATAAGTATGATATGCGGATAATTTAATTTGTGATTTAATCTGCCATTTTTAATTATAATATTCAAATAATATCTGTTAAAAGTCAAGTTTATCTCCAAATTTATAAAAAATTGAAATGATAATAATTAGTTAATATTCATATGTACTATAATAATTATTTCAATAGTTAATTTTACTTATAAAGTATTTAAAAAACTATAAACATGTGTTATAAGAATAACTCATAATTATTTCATAGAATTATTTTGTTTTTTTCTAAACAATTTATGTATTTAAAGTATTTCAATAAATATAATAATTTTTCACAAATTAAACAATTAAAATTAATTTCATGAAAATCTATTTGCTGGATTAACACTGAATACTTTATAAAAATTGTTAGTAATTTAGTTTCATTCTTAGAAAAATTATCGAGAATTTAAAAATTTAGCTTTATAAAGTTTCAAGTAAAATACATTTCTGACCAAACAGGATTGGTAAGTCTTGAGCTACCGATCAAAAATATATATACTTACCTATCAAATTAAATAAAAAAATAATCTGTGTTTACACAATTAGTATTATATTAATGACCAATATATATATATATATATTATACAGGTATACCTGTATATTTTATTATAACTAACAACTATTACTTACTGTACTTTTTTAAAATTTTATTGGGTAGCATTCATTTTTTGTAATTCAAAGTGTATCATGAATGTTATATAAAGCTGCATACGCTTGAATTTCCAATTGAGTATGTGCATTATATTCATCTGACTAAAATTTTAACATTTTTATCAAAACAGAATAAAATATATTTTTCATAGGTATTTATTATTTAGGTAGATATAATAGAAAAATTAAAACTAAGAAATTTTAAAAAATATAATGGAGCACATATTATAAAAATACACATGTATCCAACAGGTATAAAATTTAAAATCTTTACTATTTGATTAGATAAATGATAGAAATGTAAAGATTCTAATATAATTAACTCAACCAAAATAATAATGATAACTAAAAAATATCTTAAAACTCAATAAATTTGACATGTCATTCAATATCAATAATTTTCTTCAATACATATTCCATTGACTTAACTATTGTTTTTAAAATCCAAATAAGTTAAAATCTGTTTTTTTTTTTTAACAAACATTTCTTTAGTACTCGTGTAGGTATATCAAAGAGTTAATTAATATTATAAGACATTAGTAGAATCAAATATATATTTTAAATGTATGATAAATTATAGTAAATAGTATAAATAAATTATGATATAAAGTATTAAAGTATGATCAATGAATTAAATTTAAATAATAAACGATTAAAATCTAATTTCATTGATTAGTAACTAACTAAACAGGATTTTATTTTATAGAAGACAAAATTTCTCATTGTACATTATTCTAAAAATTACTATTGGTGTGAAATCAATTATTTATTTATTCATTTATATGCTGGAAAACGAAACAGGAATTGTGATTTTATTTACACTTTGGAGGTTGGTATTAGCTTTTTTTTTTGTTTTTATCCATTGAATTATATGATAATATATTATCATATAGTTCAATGTTTTTATCATGTTCGCTGTTATCAATTGTTATCAAAAATCGGGAGAACTGTATCCGTCCCGAGGAGAACTGACCCAAGCCCAATATGTACATATGTGTTATATACGCCATCATTGTTCTGTGGTATTAGTGTAATAAATAAAAGTTGGAAATATGGCAGCACTGCATATGTAACGTATTTTTTCATATTCGAAAATCAAAATGGATGGTTTGGTTTGATAATGATAATGTAGCAATACGAATGTCAGTCAGTAAATTGGTATAGATTAAACAGTGCATTGTAAATATAAATTCTCAGTGTCAAATGTATTTTTTAACCATTTTTCATAATGTAAATATTTATTATTTTAGGCATAAATCGTAATTAATTGTTATTATTTTACGTAAATTTTGTTTTAATTTTATCATAGTTTCTTCTATTGAAATAGTGTATTTCGGTAAGTTAATTATTATTGAACGTAATGCATGCTAAACAATTTTATTGCAATTTAGTAATTAGTATACTTAACCTTTGTGTAGGTGTATCTGGAACGAATAACTCTCTTGAAAAATCTAAAAAATTTTATAGAAAATGTTCACGTGAAAATGAAACGTTATTTGTATATAATTACAATTTTATAAATTAAAACACTAAGGTAGGGTTAGGATAGGTTCCGGTTCGGCCAGAACAGTATCAATTTTAAGTATAGTGTCATAAATTCTTGATGATGTGTTTCGAGACAGCCAATTGTCCCGGAATGAGACTTTAATAATGTATGTTTATAATTTATTAAACTCTTGGTTAAAAAACCATAATATTATTGTCATGATAAAACAAAAAGTTAAATAATAAACTGAGGAAATATATTTTAATTATTTGACTAAGTGAATATTATTTAATCATGTACATTCTTTATATTTCTGTTCTCTCATAATAGTTGTAGTTATTGTTAAATGAATCAACTATTTATTAGCGTAATCAATTAAAATCAAAGATTAAATTTGTAAACAATTTTAATTTTTATTGTTTTGTTAAGTGCCAACCGTTTGATCGGTGATTCCAGTACTAATGTCTTAGTCAACGCTTGGATGTAGGTGTAGAGAAATAATTTAAGACTTTTTATAATACGTTAATTTATTAAACTGTTAAAGAAACTTATCCTAAGTACAATTAAATTTATTTAATTGTAAATATTTCTAAGTCCAATAATAAAACTGTAACAAATATTCTAAGTCCTAATTTTTAAACTATAGAAATTAATCTAAGTCCTAACAATTAATTTATAAAAATAGTTTGAAATATTTCTAAGTCCGGACCATGTCATACACTGACAAAAAGGTGCTCAGTGCCGCATAGCTAAAACTCGTCTGAATAGGGCCTGTTCGGGACCCCCTTTTATATCTGATATATGCAAGTATGTGTGTGTATATGAAAAATGATAATAAAATATGATAATTTCCTGTGAATTCTGTATATGTGAACTATCTCTCGATCGGCCCATATTCAATGACGCACAGAATCCAGGATGTGGTTACTGTTGCTCTCATTACTTATTTTAATTTCCTGTACAATAACCATGTTAATTTAATAATCTAACTTGTCCACAATTGTGATTTTGATTAGCTAAACAATTTTAATAAATATGTGTAGTTTGACTAGCTAAGTAATGTAATTAGAATATGTGTAACCATCCATAGATGTGTTCACAGGAACTCCCTTATTATGTAAAAGTTCTTGAGTGATTACGCAGGACGCGACAGTATTATTATAATTTTTTTACAAAAGAAATTAATTTAAATATTTATATAATAATAAAAATGAATAGGTACATTATATAAATTAACAATTTGAAACTAATTATTCATAAGACAATTATAATATAGCTTTTAAAATTTATATTATAAAGGATAAAAAGAAACTTAAAATATCGGGGAGAGCTGAGATCACACCTAAGCGACCTCATAAATATGCTTCTACATCAGAATTTCAATTACAACTAGAATTTCTATCCCGAGAAGGGGACGTGTGGTATGTCAATAGAGTAAATAATTAATAAATAAATTCATTTTTATATTAATTGTACTTGTATTATCAAGAAATTAATAATAGTTATGTCCATAAGAAAAAATGTTGTCTTAGTTTTTTCCAAATATAATATGTTAACCCTATCCTATAATTCATCTATTATAGTATTTTAATTCAATATTAATGTTGTGTTATACTTTATATAACTAATCTTCTAGTTGTTTGATAAAATTAGGATTATTTGATTTATAGAATATTTCAAATTATTTATAATATTATTTTTAAAAACTTATATTTTAACATTTGTTAAATATTCATTTCAATAAGTATATTTTACAAATATAACATTTAATATAGTATAAAATTATAAAATATTTTTATACAATGAATTTATATTTTATAGATCATCATGAATCAAAATATAGAATCTAAATTTTTCAATTATGCCGAGGAAAATGACGGAGAAACCGATAATTATGTTACATGTCCATTATTGCAACTAAAATATGCTAGACCAAGAAAACCAATTACTAGGTAAATTATGTTGTAATTAAAAAAATTGGATGCATTTGTTGGTACTTACTATAAAAATAATATATTCTTTTTCTCCTTCACCTTTCTCCTAACTATTTGGAGTCGGCCGCCATTGCCCTAAACCTCCACTCATATAATTCTCAATTGTATCCTACCGTCTTTTTTATTGGTCTTCCTCGTTTCCCTTCAGCATTTATTTTTGTAACAACTCTTACTGTATTTGATTCTTCTCGTCTCATCACATGTCCAAACCATCTCAGTCTATTTTTTCTCATCTTGTACACTATAGACACTACACCAATACTTCCTCTCACATACTCATTCCTTATTCTACTTTCTCTTATTACTCCATTGATTCATCTAAGCTAGGGTGACCATACATCCCGTTTAAAACGGGATTGCACCATTTTTTATCATTATGTCCCCTTGTCCCGACAAACTTTGAATGGGACGCGTTTTGTCCCGTTTTTAGAATAGGGTCCTGTTTTAATCCCGTTACTTCCATAAAAATTGTAAACCGATAGTAAAAGAAAAAAAATAAGACATGTCGTATAGTATATATACTATGAACTCATGTGCGAGACTTCTAATGAAATCGATATTAAATACAAATAGTTTACCAATATACAGTACTATTTATAATCAACGATATTCGGTATAATTGGTATATTACAGTGCTTCCCAAACTTATTCGACTCAAGGCGCCCTTTTTGATCCAAGGTTTTTTTAGGGTGCCTTTCTCTAAGTCATAGCATGAATAATCATAATAATCATAAGGAAAATATTAGACCCGATAGTATTTCATGACGTCGCGGCGCCCTTATATATACATCGCGGCGCATACTTTGGGAACCTATGGTATATTAGGTATATTAATTGAAAAATCGAACATAGTCGTGCAATAACGTATGTATATTACAACGATCTTGTGTTATAAATGTTGTAGCCATTGTGTATCAGTTATTTTTATTTAAATTGTGAGTTGTTCGTGTTATCATTTTTGTTTTTTTAAAATGCCTAAAAGGAAATATACGTTCACCGTACCTTTGCAGATTAATTAATGCAGTAATAGAAAGAATATTTTCAATCACAAATATTTTATTGACGGACGAAAAAAATCGTTTTCTCGTACCAACTGTCAAATCAATAATAATTCTTAAAAATAATTTTAAAAAATATTCCTGTAATGGTTTTTATGATTTTTTGTTAACACAACCAAAACTATTAGATGCAATCAGTTCATCAAAAAAATATAATGTCAAAAGATGTAATGAAGAAAATTATGAACAATCGACATCAACTCAATAAAAATAAAGAATATTTTAAGAAATTTTTTTCAATCTAACAGCAAAAAAAGAATGCAAATCAATGTTTTATTAAAATATTAAGCTAACTAAAAATTATTTTTATTGTATATAATATAGAAGTTAAAAAAAATGTGGTTTTTTTTTTTTTAGAGAACATATTTGTCCTTTTTTTCAGAAATATGGTCAACCTAATCTAAGCATACCTCATTTCAGCAACTCATACTCTGCTTTCATCATGTATACTCTTACTTCTGTGAACATATTTGATCTAATTACATTCCTGTAAAATTTAACATTCAACCTCATTGGAATTCTCTTATCACATAAAACACCTGAGGCTTCTCTTCATTTCATTCAACTGCACTTAGTCCTATGTCATATATCCATGCCAAAGACCCTGTCCTTTTTTATAAATTATCCTAAATAATTAAAGCTCTCAACTTCACCTCTTATTGTCATTGGTTTCTTTAAACTCTCAATTTCTTGGTATATACTCCGTTTTTTTCTACTAATTTTCAATCCCATTCCTTTAATGGCTAACCTCCACTAATAAATAATATAATTAAATAACTTTTTTTTTTTTTTTCTAGTCGTTTAGGACAAAAAGGTAGATCTTTAAAACATATTTCTGATAATAGAACTTTATTTGAAAATAAAACAGCTGAAGCAGATTTAGGAAGTTCATTTCAAGTACACACACCTGAAAATTTAGTTCATGGGCTTGAAAAACTTGATTTAGTTCATGATACTCCTTTTATCCGCCCTGCAATAAAAACTCAAAATGATAGTGGTATAGAAACTCCTAGTGATACATTAACCAACTTGTATAAAATTAATATTCACAGCTCTAATACTAAACCCAATTGTTCACTGAGTACTAAAAGAATATTATACAGCAATAAAGAAAATATACCAGAACAAGTTGAAGAAGTAAAAACACCAGAATCTCAAAAATGTTCTTATAGTAATACTAGTATAATATCTTGTTCACAAACTGTAATAGAAAATTTAAATGAAATTGCAAATCACTCTTCAATCAGTCAGAAAGATGAGACGTGTTTTGTTTCACCTGAAACATCAAGATACAACTATGATACTAGTTTATATCACAGTATTAGAGAGACAACTGCTGTTCCATACTCATCACATTTATGTATGTCTACAAAGAAATCTGCTGACTCAGAATTTGATTCTTCTTTATTGAATAAACAGTTAGAATGTCAACCTTTAGACATAAAACCAAATCATACTACTTTGGAATTGTCTCCTGCTGCTAAACGTAACAATTTTGTAATTCGTGCTCGATCACCTATTCACCCTACTACAATTGGATTTGTTCAAGATGGAGAATTTAAACGACCAGTTAATTCTTCTGGAAACGTATGTGTTAAATGTGCCAATGAAAATTATATATCTGTTAAAGGAGTTAATTATAGTATACTAAATACACTTGGTCATGGTGGATCAAGTATTGTGTATGAGGTAAATAATTTTTATATGTAATGTTTTTGATAATATGATATAATGAGTTCTTGATAGGTTTTTTTTAATTCTATAAAACTTGTTTTATGCAATTAGGTTTTACATCCTCACACTAACCATGTAGTTGCAATTAAAAAAGTAGATTTGTCTGAAGTTGAAGACATTATAGCTGAAGGTTATTTAAACGAAGTTACTTTGTTACAAAGTCTACAAGATAGTGAAAGTGTAATACGTCTTTTCGACAGGTAAATTTTTTTTTGTATTTTTAATTTATTTTGTAAATGTAAATTAAATGTATTGTTTAAAAAATATGTTTACTCATCATATACATTTTTTCAGTCAATATACTACAAAAGAAAAAATACTATATATGGTTATGGAAAAAGGTGATACAGATCTTTCTAAACTCATCCGCAATACAAAGCACATGTCAATACACATGATTATGTACTATTGGTCAGAAATGTTATTTATTGTTAATGAAATTCATGCAAAAGGTTAGTAATTATTAGATACATATATGTGTTTAGTGTATAAATATGTTTTCGTTAAATTCGATATGGGTATTAAATAATTTTAGAAAAAAAATTTGTATTCTGTTGCAATTTAAATGGTACTTTATTCTTCTAACAGGTGTCATACATTCAGATCTTAAACCAGCAAATTTCCTTTTAGTCAATGGTCGTTTAAAATTGATTGATTTTGGTATAGCATCAAAAATACAAGGAGATATGACAAGTGTATTGAAGGATGTGACTACTGGAACTTGGAATTACATGAGCCCAGAATGTATAAGAAGTGGAGGTTTAAATTTCCAAGGGCATAAAGTAAGTTAAATTGATTTGTTTTTATTTGTCATTAATTCTGAGCTCAGAAATTAATTTTATATAGATAAACCAAAAATCAGATGTATGGTCACTTGGATGTATATTGTATAGCCTGGTTTACGGGAAGACTCCATATTCACATTTGACAAATACTTGGCAAAAATTGCAAGCTATTGCTGAATCTAAACAAAATATTAGTTTTCCAAGTCATAGTAAAATATTTACTAATGGTATACCACCTGTACTTATGCAAACAATGGAATTATGTTTGATAAAAGATGTTAAATCCAGACCTAATGTAGTGGATTTGTTGAGGCTTATTGAAAATACAGTATTCAAACCTATCACCTAAAAATTTATATTTCTTATCATTTTTTTCATACTATAATCCGGTTTTGTAATTTCAATTATGTTCTCTAAATGTTATTATTACTTAAAGTATTGATAAATGAATAATAATAATTTTCATTTATAAATAAAATATATCGATATAATTATATACTTATAATGTTTGCATTCAAATGGATAATTGTTTAAATTAAACATATTTTGTTGTTATAACATAGTTTATTTTAATTAAATTAAAATATATAACAATATGGTATTTGATGAGTTGTTAATAACTTACTCTTAATTAAATTTACATGAGTTGATATAATTTTTGTAAATGTATTTCATATTTTAGAAACATTCATTACTTCCATACCATCAGTTTTCCATTTTCAAATATTAGACAATCGACGGGCCAGGCTATTGATGATTTATCAAATGGCAATAAGTCTTCAAAATCTTGGTCAGAGTCCTAAAAATTATATTCATAGATGGTAAAAGTATTTAATTACTGGGGCTCAGAACTTAATGCATTTATGCGCTTTAAAAATATCCATTTCATTTTTTTTAACACAAACAATTTCATAAATAGACATTTTACTAAATATATAATCATACATAACAACAGTCAGGAGCAAACCCAGGAATTTATCATGGGGGGAGGGGTCCAACATTTTTATTTTATTTGTTCTCTATAATTATAGTTTAACTCAATACCAACAAATTAGTTTTAATATACTATGGTTTAGAATATAAACTTTATACATTATAGGTATATTATATAATCTATAAACTTTGTATATTGAAGATAATGGGAAATCAAAACACACTATATACTATTATTATATTATTTACTATTAAATCTATTTATCTATTTATTAAATCTGAGTATTTAGAAATTTCAATGGGGGTCAGGATCAGAACCTCCCCCCCCTTAGGTACGCCCTTAACAACAGCACAAATATTTTACTAAACTAAACATAGTTAATTATATATTGTCATGTTATTAAATTAAATTTAAAAACACTATTTTTTAATACTATCATTAATTATAAACTATAATACTTTCGAATAAGAAAAAAAGATTTTTGTATATAAAAAAAAGTATTATCAATTTTTGAAACTGATGATTGATTTTATGGTTTTTTTTTACATAATATTTTAATGTTAAAGCTTTAATTTTTGAATTATAAAGAATAAAATGTGTACTTAAGTCAATGTTATAGCTAAGCATTGACCAAAACTTATAAAATATATAATTATCATACTAATATGTCATTGTTAAAGTATACAGATAAACAGAAGATAAATGTACATAATAATAAGTAGTAATGGGTCAAACCTGATTTTTTAATGTCGAACTGAACATTGTTTTCATATTTGTTAATTTATTGATATCAAATTCCAAAGTAAAATATATAACTAAGATTCAGATGTTTAGTCTATTCTATTAGAGGGTTATTTATTGTGAAATATATTAATACAATTGATCGATAGAAACGGCTGCAATGGGCATACTTACAATAAATAATATTATATATATCTACAATTAGTTAAAACAATTTTCATTGAAAATCAATAATAAGTTGGTAAATACATACAAAAAATGTTTTAGATATATTGTTGCACACTGGGTTAGATACTAGTCTCGGTTGAGGGTCATGTACTTGGTAAGGTTTCCTGGAGTGTTTGTTCTCACTAATTTCATAAAAACCAGGTGTGCATTGTGTACAGGCTTTGTACCACATACTATATTATGGGGCCTCAAAAAATTCAGTGACTAGTATGAAAATAATCAATAAACAACAGAGTGTTTCTAAAATAGTTGAAACTAGTATACATGTATACTTCTGGAGCCAAATAAAGATAATTTTTAAATTTTTTTCCATCTTCAAAACCTGGGTTTTATCTAATTATCTTTAGAGAATTACCTTACATGTAAAAATAAATACTCATAAGAGATTTCTTACAAATTTCTCATGTAAATTGATATGTCCAGTTAATTATGAGCTTATGTGTTTTTAATGCTTGTGTTGCCATAATCAAAAAACGTAGTGTGATTTATCAATTTATATGAGAATTCTACGAAATAAATAATGGTGATATTTAATTGTTGTTATTTAACTATCTGATTAATTAATTCGGTTTTTACATCGTAAGATAAAATTTATTTTTATAAGTTGTTTAAATGCTTCAGGTCTGAATTAAATTGTATCAATAGAAAAAAATATGCAATTTCATAAAAATCTGAACCTAATAAACAAATAATACCTAATAACAACAAATCTTCAGTCCTATTTATTAGTAAATAACTAGAGGTTATCATGATAATTATTTATCATTAACATAAATATTAATTTTTCATTATCATAAATCATAACTGTTTATGAAATTAAATATTTATTAAGTTATTTTATTATAATTCTTAAATAGTGAATTGGCAAAAATGAAAGTAAAATTATAATTAAAGTTAAGTAAAAGATAATATGCTGAGAATCTAGTTTAAAAATATTCTTGGTACCTATACTGAATTATAAAATATTCTTCCAATGCACTTATTAAAATATCAATAACTCATTAAAAATTGATTTATAGTTTAATCCTCTGAAATTTATAATTATATTCTTAACATAAAAATATTATTTAACTAATTTATTATATTATGTAATAGTTTACAATAACTGAAAATAAATGGATACAATTTTATTAAATTATTTTAATATCTTACCTTGTATGATTCTATAAATTTTAATAAATCTTTTGATAGCAATTCATTTGATTCCACAAGTTTTGTAACACTGTTAATAAATTTAATTTATATTTGTTAACATATCTTATTTTAAAATAAGTTTATTTAAAAATCAAATTGAATATATGAATTTACTTTTCTTCTTTCCACATTTGATTATCAATAATATGTTTACAAATGTTTTTATTGACATCTGAATTAAAAAGTGGTAATCCAAAACAGCAGTCTAACAAAGTCCATTTCGGTTTATCATAAACAGGTTCTAATAATAATGGCTTTGTGACACATAACGGATTGTTTAATTTTTCCAATTCTTCTTTTAAGAGAGATACTCCGTTTTTTTGAAAAACTGGAGAAGTGTCTATAAAATAATCACAATTAAGAATCAAAATGTAATAAAATAATATAGTTAGTTTAAAAAAATCTTATAATTCACCTCACCATTAATGGTAGACTGTTCAGTACTAAACTTCTTTTCATACTTAGGAGGTGTTGTTACACAAGTTATATAGCCACAAGTATTTTCAAGGTTTAATACTGTGGATAAACTTTTTATTGCTTTTTCTTCATATAGAAATGAATTTTCTAAACAAATATAAAATTATGTGTGTTGGAAATAAAATGAAGAAAAATAATTAAACTTACCACTGTCTAAACAATCTATTTTTGGGAATGGTAATATACAAGTATTTGGATTACAAGCCTGTAAATAATAAAAACAAAATGTAAATTGATTTTGGGCGAAAAGGTTGTTAGTATTTAATCACTTGAATGAGAACTGGTGATTCTTTTAGTGTATCATTGATAATGGTAAGTAAATTTTCAATAGGTATAAAATGAGGATCATGTCCCCAAGTAGTTACCATCACTTTAGAACAATGTTTAAATATTTTTGGAACATTCCATAAACGAACACCTGTTAAAATTAAAGTTTTTAATTAAATAATAATTACTTTATTAGATATATTTACCTCTAACTAATAGGAGTGAAGGAGGTCCATAACATGTTTTATGATATAAATATAGCTTAAACCAGACCGAGTTTACCTCAGGAATAGAAGGACCTATATGTGGTAATTTTGGCGAAGACAAAAGAGGAGTTTCTTTGTTTAATGGGGCCATTGACAATAACAAGCTGAAATAATTAGAAAATTATTTAATTGAATATTAAGAGGTAAAACAATTTACTTGTAATTTTTTTTTAAAAATCTAACACATGTGTCAGCTGACAATGATTTTAGACTTTCCCATCGGATAAGATCTAGTTTATTTATGTGATTTTCTGATCTTAAGGATTTCACCGTGCTTCTAAGGGTTAAAGCATGCTCAAAATATCGTCTTGCTTCGCCTTCACTCTCACCTGCACTGGGAGTCTCACTTCCAAAAACACAACTACCAGCATTGTATCCATCTGCAACTTTATCTAGCTCATCCAAAAATACATTTAAAGATTCATCAGTGAGTTTTCCAGCTTCAAATAAAGTAACTGCATGATCTTTAAGACTCTGAATATGTATTTAAGAATTATAAATAAGTTTTTATATTAATGTATATTTTATAATAAATACTCACAGGAGAAAGATTGCCCATCATTAAAAAGGCTGTAAGAGTTGAATCAAATAAGAAAGCCATTCTTTTTTCAGCATTACTTTTATCTGGTGATGATTCCAAAATTTCTGGTATTTCAGTCGATAATATTGTTAATGAAGATATGTCAGATACTAGACCTACATTGATTATTTCTGGTTTTGGTACGTTTTTTAATCTAGACCATGATAAATGAGTAGAAACAATCTTAGGATTTTTTTTTTGTGCAATTTTTAACCGGCAAAAAAGAGAAACTGCATTTTTAACTGATTCCAAGTCAATTTCTAATACTGTTGCTAGCTATTAAAAATTTTACTTCATTAAAGTAAATAATGTATAAATAAGGTAATTGATTACCTCGCTGACTGAAGTATGCTCATCGATTGATACAAAAATTTTGTAAAGTAGATTTTCAAAATTATCACCAAGCACTCTGTTCATTACAAAACCACCAAGTGTTGATACTATTATATGGTCATCATCATATATTGGAACATCATAGTAAACTAAACCTTTTCTACAAAAAATGAAATATTTAAAAAATTATTTTTACTATCAATAATTATTAACAATTACTAACTTATAAAGACTGCTAAGTACATTATAATCTAAACTTCCTGCCATTTGTCGCCCATTATCAATTAAATGGTCAATACATATTTTTTCATCTTCTTCAATAGTCTTAACAATTTAAATTAATTAAAAATTCAATTTTTTTTTATCATTCAAAAAATTCTAATATACTTTAATGTCATCCTCGTATAAACAGCCAACATCGACAGTCCACCAAGGTTCTACATTTATATCTATAGGTTGAGATGGTAACATTGATCGTATCTCATTTTTTTTTCTAAAAAGTTTATTTTTAGTTCGGCCTTGATTCATTAAATCAATGTACTCATTACGACCAATTCCTAAAATTCTTAAGCCTAAAAATAATAGTTAAGAAACAAAAATAATTTTTATGAAAAATATAACTATGTTATCAATAAGAAAAATAATTAACGATTAATTAGCAGGTTTTCTCAGTAGAAATTGCACTGTAATTATTAGTTTTTTAAATTTTTAGTTATATTGTTCATATTCTCATTAGAAAAACAAGCTAGGCTACAGACATTACTGTATAACAGTAATAAAAAAGTTTATACTTACAATCTACAGCTGTAAAATTTGGAATTGAATCATAACTTTTGTCAGATTCCATAACATGTATAATTGTTGATATATAAAATTGAAATGGAGTGATTCTTAATCCTTTTACAATAACATCTGATAGATGATATGGATAAAGCATCAAGTTTTCTCTACTATATGTCATCAAATCTTCATAGTAATTTTGTTCATTTCTGACAACAGATCTCACTAGAATTTAACTTACAGTTAAGATATTTAAAATACTAGTTAGAACATTAAGTTATAATAATAAGATACTATTATACCTAAGTTTCCTTTGTAACGAACTTGATTTCTTATACTATATATAGAAATACATTTTTTGTACTCTTTTATAGAATTGCCTACACTCTGGAAAAAAAATATACAATGTCATAAAATGTATAATTTATAATTTTTAATTACTTAATGATACAATAATAAAAGTTGTTGAAAAATTGTAATGATTTTTATAATATATGATTTTAAAGCTTAATAAAGCTTTAATACTATGCAAACATTACTTTAATTAAGGAAATTACTTGTTTTATTGCTGGCGGAAGATTTGCCCAAGAAATATTTTGGAGCACACATTTTTCCATTTCTTCATTCATGTTTGAAAATATTTACAGATTAAGATATTATAAAATTTCACATATACAAACACTTAAAAAATTAGATTAATTTGAATTTCAGCTTTATCAAATTCTTATCTAAAAAAAATTGTATCATTGAAGTGCAGGAACAAGTAAATAACTGATTACAGAATTAAAATTATCATGTATAAATAAAACTGTCATAACAAAACTTTTATCAGTATATTGATATTCCTGAATTTTGAGTATAATACATTCATAGACATATAAAACTATATGTTTATGAATACATTATACACGACCATACAATACATTTTATATTTTTGTAAAATATCTGAAATATTTTGAATCTTGACGGTAAAATTACAGACTTATTAATATGACTATTAGGGATGTGTAGTTCATAAGCTAGTCGACTCTTAAAAATGAACTGGACGAGTCGAATCAGTGTTACAAGATAAAGCGACTCAGTGACTCATTTAAACTATCAATTCAAAACTCACAACTGTATTATTGTAGATACACGACTAGGGACGTGGCGATAATACCTATACCAATAAACTTTATTGGATAAAGTATAGATACTTTTCTTTCGGTACAAGAACTTTTGTATCGATACCATGGTTTGGATACTGTTACGTGGTACCCAATAAAAACAGGTACCTATCGTAATGATGTTATTGGATCAGGGTAAATTGATTAAATAATTAATTTAAACACTTGTAAACACTTTAATAAATACAAATACAGAAACAGACATAGATACAAATATAAATTATAAATTCGTGCACTAACAATATCGAAGACGAAACTCAGAAGGGCTTGGTCTGATAGCTGGACACGTCTGTCGTTGGTGGTGAAACGGAGCCTTTATATACTCTGTTTGATTCTGTTTTAATTGCGTTGTTTTCGGCACGTGGCTATCCTTGGCCTGGTTATCTTATTTGAATGATTGATGTTCGCGGTTTCTTGTGATCTGAGATTTGCGCGTGGCACTCGCAAATTTATGTGTGCAATAAATATTCTTGGTACGTTTTTATGACTCGGAATATGCGTATTATTACTTCTTAGTAATATATGCATATTACAATACTTTATTCATATCGACAAAAAAATACTGATATTGAATGATTTACTAACCGCCATATTGGTTTAAAAATCAAAAGTACTCGAATGGTCGAATAGTATCATACAATAATTTTCTAGTAAAATGGTTTGCGGGCGTGGTGGATTTACATAAATCATTCATCACACTCTAGTCTATACTCTATACGATTATATTGTTATTTCCAAGGACTAGAAACCATTGCCCACAATACAATAGCGTCAATAGGCTTCCTTTTAATCGAAACCATGATTCATATCAATCGTTTTTATATTTTACTCATCATTATTTTAATTCGATTCGATACGTCGAAGTAAAAGGATTAATAATTTTCTCTCGATACTTACTCATAGGGTTGTAATAGGACTGTCATAGGGTTATGTGAAATATTTCATAATTGAAAATTTCTTGCTTTATGAAATATTTCAATGAAATAATGAAAAATATATTTTTTTCGTTTGAGATAGTGACTGTCAAATGTAATTTAATCATTTGATATTATATGATATCGTTTCGGTACAATGTTGTTATTTTTATGATAATATTCGTCTAATAAGTAATAGTTCTAATCGCCTGTGATTTATTTACATGTTACTAGTCAAGTTTTCTGAAGTGTCTTCAGCCATCTAAATTTTATTTACATACTTTCTTGAGTATATTAATGAGAACATTATACTTCCCTAATTTATGATTTGTTTAACTATGCAAAGGAGCTTATTTTAATTTTCATACTTTCAATAGTATATTTACCTTATTATTATGATTTCACATTTTATACTAATAAGTGATTTGTTAAACTATGCAAAGGAGCTAATTTTTATTTTTTGTTAAATTAGATTTATTTAATTACATTATGTTTATTATCTTATATACAAATATATATTATTATATATATTTATTATTTGTATA